GAGGACGCTCAAGGTCGCTCGGAGAGCTATGGAGAGGGCTATGCTTGGAGTTTCTCTGCGTGATAGGCTCAGAAATGAGCATATCCGCAGTGAAACCAAAGTGGCCGACATAGCCCAACGGATTAGTAAGCTGAAGTGGCAATGGGCCGGCCATATAGCTCGAAGAACCGATAACCGATGGGGAAGAAAGGTTCTCGAGTTGCAGCCTCGTACTGGTAGGCGTAGTGTAGGGCGACCCCCACTAGATGGAGTGAAGACCTTGTAAGACATGCAGGAAGTCGATGGATGCAGGTAGCTCACGACCGTGCTTTTTGGCATTATTTGGAAGAGATCTATGTTCAGCAGTGGACTTGTGAAGATCTGTAATGATGATGATGATGATGAAGAAGTAGTTTAGGAGTCCATCGCGGACAAACAACGTGACACGTAATTTATATATATATTAAGATTTATAGCAAATGTAGGGTAGTGTTCCATTTCGTCCAATGATACATAAGTATATATAAAAAAGGTATATACGTCACTAGCACGCCAAAACTGAAGCCTTTAAAAGTATTCGTTTAGCCACTCCGGTGGTTAGCTAACAAATTACGTATTCGTAAGATCGTAAATAAGCTTAAAGAAAAGGACAACAATAAATATTTCAGAACTAGTGCGATAAGAACATGAAGAGCTAGAGAGAGAATGTAGTGAAATGTAAGTAAAACATTAAAATGTGTATATGTGTTCTGCCCACAAACTAATAAGATGGTGCTGAAGCTGGGACGGCTGCGCTTAGGGAAGGGAGAGTAAAAAAATATATCGATATCTATCAATCGATATTTTTAATCATCGAAAAATGTTTAAAAATATCGATGAAGTCATCGAAGGATAAATCAATAGATCGTCTTGTTCGCCGTGATTGTTGTTTTCGATGAACTTTACATTTTATCATTTGCAAATAAGCAATATTATGCTTAGTATTTATATGAGTTTTTAAATTGGTTGTAATACCGCACGTTTTATACGATTTGCTGCACAAAAAGCAAGAAGAAGACTCACTGTTGCCTTCTTTTTTGATTAACTTCCACACACAAGACATAATTGAAATTTCTTAAAACAATGTGTACGCAATTAATTTTCGTATATAGTAAGACCTTAGACAAAACAAAAGCATTCATTTGCTTTTTGACAACTTTGACACAACAAAAGCAAATTAAATAAACGATGTGCGAGGAGCATGCAAGGAGTACCTGGTAACATCAAATACGAAACCAGAGTTGCGTTATAAATAAATCGAAATCGATATGATATTGATACCCTAAATATCGAATATTAGTATATCGCGGTTACAAATATCGACAATACACTATATCGATGAATTAGCGAGAAAATATAGGTACTTCAATGTTAAGCCAAGCCTAAGCCTAGCTGCGTTCGGAACGTAGACAGAGAAACCTTTTCTGTCTACGATTAGGAAACTTTTTATTCGGTGGTTTTGTTTTTTGGGCCCTGGGCTGGGCACATAACGCACAGATAACTAATACACTAGTCAAAGAATATAACGTCCATGGAGTATAAAGGTAAGGACGACAATCTCCCATAGGAGAATATAATAATATATCGTAGTTGAAAATGTGTCCATCTGTAAGGAGTAAATAACTCTCCATAACAGCGTTCTAGTAGCTAGAGGGTATTAAATGAACTTAGCGGTTGTGGCGGATGAAGTGTGCTGAGTTTAGAAATTTAATATTTGTGGTGACTAGAGTAGTTCATGAAACTGTAGTATTTAAAACCTCAACTAGGTATACTTATTTTGTTTTAAATAATTTACGTTGAGTGATTTTGAAAATAAAAAATTATTATAAAAAGAATTATGGTGAGTCTGTGCAATAAAAATTTACAGTATGGAGTGTAGAAGTAAGGAGTACAGACTGTGTATTAAAAATTGTCCATAAAAACCTTTAAATAAGGGTGGCGCCACTCTAGCTACGGGGTAAATTTTAAAGAACGCACCGAAAAATATTAGTGGGATAGACGACTTTTTCTAGGTTATATTTACTAAATAAAATGATTTTAGATTTTAGAGCTACTGAGCAGTTTAGCAGCACACTTAAACCGTCGACAACTGCTAGGTTCATTTCATCCCAGTAGCTACTCCAGCGCTGTTGTGGAGAGTTTTTGAACTGTTATTTACTGCTTACAGATGACCACTTTTCAATTATTCTACTATGGGAGTTAGTACTCCTTACTTTTACACTCCATAATTTCTTTAAAATTTACACTCTAGCTACAGTGGCGTCACCCTTGTTTAGCGCTTTTTTTTTTTTTTTTTTTTTTTGCGCCCGAAGCAAATATGGGCAACCCTCCGGAAAGCGGGGGAGGGAGGTTGAGAATGCTCATAGCATACCACGCAGCCGGCTGCGTGGTTATGTGGAGACTTTTACCCACTAAACTCAACCTTTTGGTAATTGGCTTAACGATCTGACTAGAGATCTCTAAGCCGTATACGAACGCGACCCTCCTTGGCAGAAAGGAGGGCGCAAGCGGCGTAAAGCCGCTTAGAAAAGTGCCTAACTAAGGCAGATTAATGGATGTGTTATGTAGGCTCGGCCCGAGCCGCCAGGAGGCAGTTCAGGTCAGCCGAAAGCTTGTTGGGGTTTAGCGCTTTTCTACGGACACTTTTTTATACAGAGTTTGTTCCACCAATTATATCGTAGACAGAGAAACCTATAGACAAATCTTAGAGCATACATTACATGGAGGGAGCACTGTGTGAGCAGAAAGCGTGATCGGTGCTCTAAGGTTTAGGTAGAGTCTGTCTCTCTCGCACATGCTTCTGATTGGCTGGCGTGTTTTCCACCGTTGACAACCAACATGAAATGATAATGATGTAATCCTACCTAAACTCAGGCTCTCTCTCTCTACGCCGATCACGCTTTCTGCTCACACAGTGCTACCTCCATGTTAATGTATGCTCTAAGAGACAAATTGACGCCTTCTTTCGCCTTCGCACATGAAAAAGATAGATTTATGTATACGTCTTGCATAGAAATGAGACAGAGCGGTGTGATTATTTGTCCCTTTCTCCGTGCCGTTTTTGTTTAGCAAACTACACTTTGCTAAACAACTTTGACAGTTCGTAGCAATCTAAGGAGTTTACAAGATGGTTTAAGTGAGAAAAAAGTGTTTTGTGATCTTAAGATTGGTGAATCTTGTTCAGTTCAGTTCTTAGAACAATTAAAATTTTTATCTAAATACGTTTAAAAGTCATAATGATTATTGTATAACCTAAAACTACGTTATCGTCCTTTCTCACTCGAGGCCACGCTAATCATTAGTCTATAGGTTTCTCTGTCTACGAATTATATATTAAGTTGTATGTACAGGAGTTTGTTCTCCTTATCTCTACACTCCATAATAACTTATCTAATCAATCATTGGTTCCGTTTTTATCTTGAGATGTGGGTTAGGCATGTCGATTCACTCTTTAAAAAATCGATCTCCGAATCGATTTGAATCGAAGATACTAGAATCGATTATCGATTAAATCGAGGATTAAAAGATCGATTTTCGATTAATCGCGACATTTTTAAACATGATATTTCAAGAATTTGCGACTTTTTCTTTAATTGAACTTTAATATTTTTTTAAATAATATATTAGTAATCTTATTAATTAACATTACTATTATTCCTTCTAACCACTCCTTGTAAGCTTGAAAAACTTGTGTTAGGTGTGGTTCGCACATACTCCACTCGATCCCTTTTTTACAAAGTGATTCCATGTATCACTTTTATTTGACATTTTAGGCTAAAAACAACAACAATACATTAACAAAAGTGCAAACTGCAACGTACATTTCTCGATAAATCTACACGAACAGAATACTGGTTATTTTCTTACTATAAAACTTCAAAATATAATATTTATTTACAGTATCTAGGTATTTAAAAAGTACTCTAACTGTACTTACAGCTCACAGTATGTATATTTTTGATAATAAATAAAGTAAATTCACAAGTTCACAGTTCAAACAGGTTCACAGCTATAATATTATATTGTAGTATGTATACGTAGATAGTCTTTGTTCACAGCACAGATTAAGTTAGACCAACATTCCACAGGTAAGATTAGTATAAATCTATAAAATTGTATAAATATAAATAAAATGACAACTTTTCGATATTGTTGGATGCTTTCATAAATATTTATTTTATTCAAATATATATTGCGTTCAAATCATCAACCAAGTTGTTATTGCATCCCCCAACAGCAAAAAATTAAAAAACTGCGGTATATTACCCCAGCCAGTTTGGGCATTTATCGCTAGTTCTTGAATCAGAAGAATCAGTACGATTCGAGAGGTTTTTGGATCGATTCAGTGAATCGATGCAGTGCTCTGAATCGATCTAAATAATCGATTATTTTACTCCAAAGAATCGTTTTTTTGATTAATCGATTTTAGATCGAAATGCCTTATGTGGGTCGGACGCTCGGACGATAAAATTCGATTATATGCAATTACTTATCTTATTCCATTTTCAATCCTAATCTTATTTCATTTTATTATTCGATAGGGTTATCATTTAAGGATATGTTATGCAGTTAAATGACATGAATAAACATTTTATTACTATAAATAATATGATAATAATAGAGAAAATTATTTGCAAATATTTTTCAAGCTAGCAAATAAAACGGGAAGTTCCCCAAAGTGCAATGCCATCGTTATCTTAAAACTCGACATTGTAATAATATAAGCTATGTGACTGATATAAAGCATATATTTGTTTGTCATAATTTTCTAAGTAATTTACACGTAGTTATTGGTACACTTGGTATTTATATTTTATATTATCTTTTGACTTCTTATCTCCAGTCCGGACTCCATATTGTTTTTTACATCGTCGTTTCTTTTTTTGTTATTAGAAACTAATTCTGGTTAGTAATTATTATATGCTGTTTTGTTGTGCACGTAGTTTGGCATTTTTTTGTAAAACCGTCTTTACCTCAGATAGGAGTAATAGTGTTCTGTGAAAAAGTAAGTATATAAAACACTAAATGATAACAAAATTGAATTATTAAAATATTCTGATTCCTTCTATATTGTGATGTTTTCTTATTTTTAATGTCGTGTCTTGTGTAAACATTAAATACTTACGTTATAATTATGAATTATTTGTACATAGAACGCACTCTGCTAGGCACTTAAATTAATGATTTACAATAACAGTTCCACTGTTTTAGATTATTTCATATTTTTAAACCCCTTAATCATTATGAGACATCAAACAGCAACTTTTTTATAACAACATATAATAATTAACGCCCGTTTTTCAGCTGAAGATGGCAAAAGCAAAAGTTGGTAAAAAGTAAGTAGACAATGATAAATTTCTCTGTATAATTTACTTCAATAAATTGATTATTTGTTTAGCAACATCAAGATACCTTGTAGATTAATTAGCTAAGATTCATTTCCTTTACAAAATAGGTGTATTTGCTACTATAGTTGTAAGAGTATCTCCCTAGATCCTGCAATCATGTGCATTATAACTATCAATCACTAAACTTAAACTAATTCATCATATTTTGATTTTAGCTAATTAATTTTCGCATCATATAATGTAGGTAATGAAAGTAAGATCTGATTCTGTTTATTAAAAAGATGTTATAATATGTATATAGAAATAAATTGTGAATAAACTCACATAAACAGGCATGGCTTAGATAAGATGTATTTTTTTCTAGAATAACAGGTATTGCTGTGGAGTTGCCAGAATGTCCTGTGTGCTTGGAGACTATGTCTGCACCAATTTTCCAATGTCAGTCGGGGCACAGTCTTTGTCATTTGTGTACTAAAAACTTGTGTCCGGCGTTATGTCCTATATGTCGCCAACCTATGACACAAATGAGAAACTGGCAACTGGAAGAAATTATTGCAAAGGTATCTTTTTAATTTTTTAGAGAAATATTATTTTTCGACTGTGTTTTTAAATTGACATTCATTCCAGGCAAATGTACCATGCCCTAACAAGTCTTATGGTTGTGTTTACACAATGACTTCTGAAGGTATAGATGAACATCTCAGGGAGTGTATTTTTCGTGAAATGGTTTGCCCTCTCGGAGCTGTGTTTGGCAAATGTTCTTGGACTGGTAGGTATTAAGCTCATATTGTTTTTTAATAAAAAAAAAATAATTTCTTATATTAACGTGAATACTACACATTGAATAAAATACATTTAGATATTTTATTGCATCTAGTATTAACTTTACCTACTAAATTATTTGCAATAAAATCTGTACAAGTAAGATATTTTATTTAATGTTACCATTTTAAATTTTATTAGGTAAGCTCAAGGAGATGATGGATCATTTCAAAGATCGTCACCCTCAAAATTGCAATATTAATACAGATACTGAAGTGGAATTTGATAATATTTCAATTCATGAAGATGAACGATTTGTTTACTTGGTATCTCAAGGAAAATTACTTTTTATTCTTACAATGAAAATTGATACACTGAAAAATATTGCTTATTGGGTAATACAGCACATAGGAAGTAAAAATCAAGCCCAGCAGCATATTTACGAAATACACATCACTAGTAAACAAGACAACAGAAGAAAAGTAGTATTTATAGATCACTGCTTTAATGATTCCTATACAGCAGATGGTGTGTATCGTCTAGGAAAATGTGGAATATTACCTTTAAATGTACTTACACATTTTATTTTAAATAAGAAATTTTCATTTAAATTCTTTATCAAAAGAAATTCAGTTGGGCCCAAGAATAAATTTGAAAAGATGACTGGCACTAACGAAAATAAGCAACCCTTCACGGGACACAAAGGTCCTAAACCAAAAGGTACAAATAATACACAGCATAGAAATCCAAAACCTAAAAGTGGAAGATCTAAAAGTCCCTTTAATCCTAGACCTTAAGGTATTTAAAAGCTTATTTATAAAATTTCAATAATAATGCATATAGTATAGTGGAATTAGATAATGTTTTAATTCATGAATAAGCTATTTGCTATTTTGGTATTTTGTCAAGGATCAACATATGAAAACAAGGCTTTTTATTGTTGCAATGATGTTAAATGAAAATTGATACACTGTCAATATAGTAAATATATTATCTGGGAAAATGTTGAAATTACCTTTGGAAGCTCTTACATACTTTTGAATTCCAACTGGATCTAATGATCAGGACTGTTTATCTTAAATATATTGGCAGGGTGCTTATCTATAATTAAGGTTTATAAAAAAAGTTTGTGACTGTTAATATTAATATACTTATTCTTCTATTTTCCTACTGGTGCTGTCAGTGGACACAAACAAAATGGTAGTATTACTTTCAGGTAATTAATTGTGCAATATGGCAAAAAATTTCAAACAAACTCACACATTGAAACTCCATTGTTGATTAACTGTCAATTTATTTTTATTTCATTACTTATCAAGACGCACAGTCAAAAGCTAACCCTATTTTCTGATATGTAGTATTTTTTGTGTCTATAGCTGTACATCATATATATAAGTTGCTTAAAATGTGCTTGTCTCGTCACTTCTATGCTTGGTGAGTTTTATTTACCTAATAAGATGCATTGTAATTTTTTATTAAGTAATCAGTATTATGGTAGTGCCGCATTCACATTTTGATTAAAACATTTAAATTGTATTGATATTAAATAGATAATTTTGCTGTTTTAAAATAACTACCATAACTATTTATGAAATAGTAAAAAAATCTATTTTTCTCATGCTCTAGTTTAAGTTTCATGTACCTACAATAACTATAATATATTCCTGTCGGAAAAAAATTAAGTTATAGTACTATATTTAATAAAAAAATAGGCATATTAAATAAAAAAAGAGGCAGAAAATCGCACTGGCACCATTGAAATTGTTGATTGCCACTGAGGAAAACGAAAAAAATATTTCAAAGACATGTTAGTTGGCTTAAACGCATTGGAGCAGCGCAGCGGACACTTCCTTGCCCTTTAACCCGCTCAGAAATGAGAAGCCTGTGCCTAGCAGTATTGTGAACGTATATAGGCTGTATTTTTAGCTTTTAAGGCATAAAAACACATTGCTTAATTATGGCTCATGGCTTGATTTATTTGTAAAAGAGATATGAGATACAGCAATATAGAGTATATTGTGAAAGCCAATTCCAGTATTAGTTCTATGGAAATGTAATTGATTTATGCAATGTTTTACTACACAAAGTTTTTATTATATCTAAAATTCAATGTTATGTTACCACAGTAGCTCTAATTTCAAAATTGAAACAAAACTATCGTAATATAAACGTAATGAATAAAAAGGGTCTTCTCCACCTATATTTCTTTCTTTTGAAAAAATTTTCCTTCCAAGTTTTTTTGTTGGTATCACATGACTTGTGACATCATTTAAATATATAAACACTGTACTAAAATGTATTACAAGAAATGTAAGTTACTTGGCTTATCGTAATTAAGTATAGGTTTAATTTGTTTATTCACAAAAAGTTAATTGCCTGTGTTATCTTCATATAACATTACTGTACATTTGTTACATATTGTGCGGTTCAAATTAAATTAGCAGCCAGTTTCTATAACATCAATGCTATTTGCATAAATGTTTGATTTAGTACATAAGTTCAATGTTTGTAATTTTTAATATTTTTCTGCTGTACTGTGAGTAGGTAAGTTTGGCTAAGATATGCATCTATTTGTTTATATTAATCAATATACTATATTAATTATTGGTGTAGTCATTTTTAACACTTAAAAATTTAATTTAATTTTTTAAACATGAGCAATTTCATCTGGAAATTATTTTTTAAAGGCCGATTTTTCAATCCTCAGATAAATGATAAATTGATAACATAATGATAACATCTCAGTCTGATAAGCAATATTTAAAAAATCAAATAATATGATGAGAAATGTTTCTATCCCGTTGCTTCGACGGAAAGCTAAGAGAGCTCAGAACAATACCTAAATCATTGAAGGCTAAAATAAAAGTATAACTATATTTACTTCCGTTCTATCTTATTGTATTAAAAAGGATATGAGTGAGGTAAATGATTCATAGGTACTTTGTTTTACTTGCCATTTGTTTACATTGGTTCTAATTCCATCCAACCAAATTCAGTAAAAATTTATTTATTTATTCGACTACTGATCTTAATCAAACATACCGACGTCAATGATTTCAAAAGGAAGGATAGGCCCATCTAAATATTTTATTCAAAAATTTTTCATACAAGAAAAAGTAACGCATCTGTCATAATACAAACGTCATATCATAACACGACGTAACCAGGGTCGGATTTCGTAGTATAATTATTATCCTAATTGTACCATTATTTCGTAGTATCTAGTATCGTAATAATACTAAGCGAAAATACCATAACCTTACCTTAAGGTCGACTTGTATTATTATTAGGTCCTTTTACTTTTTAATATTAACCCTACGATATCGAGATATTCTGTATTGTACATGAGTACCGCGTTTTTAATAAAATTAGAATTCGCTCTCTTTCTGGTCAATCGGTGCTCGATCGATGCATTTATGTTGCATCCTTGATACAACTATAATGAGGGGCTACTACGATAAAAACTCTAAACTCTAAGCAAGCGGTTTGAAAACAGAATTTCAAAATATTTTATGAATATCATTTTCAGATTCAATTAGGCAGATATGGTTTCATTTGTACTCTTTTCAAAAGCTAGCTAGCGATAAGTGAGGAGGGTAATTATCGATCTCATTTCAATTTATTTAGATTTTTATTTTGATTTTTAGATAGATTCATTGTGCTGCACTTACCGTCACTTAGTAAACATCCAATGCGTTTCGTCCGTTGAAATTAATGATTATTCAGTGTTTAAAGTGAAGTGCACTACCAAAATCCCTCACCTAAGTGTAGTCTATTGTGTGACTAATTAGTATAATTTTACGTGAAAACGACCGGTGCAGTAATTATTGAGTTTTTAACCAAAACATTTTCTAACACGTGGTGATTTGTATAAAACCGTGACTTACGACAACTCGCCGCTTACTCGCTGTGACGTAGACGGGCTCATTGCATCGTTAGGCCGTCCGCACAGTTATCAAGTCTACAAGATGGATTCATATAGCTGCGCTGGTTGTAAAAATGATATAGCAAGTAATGAATTTATAAGTTGTCAAGGTTGTAAATTAAAGTACGATGTGTTGTGTGCAAACGTCACCAAAGCGATTTAGGAAAATGAGTCTAGAAGCTAAAACTCAGTGGAAATGCTCAGAGTGCAAAAGCAAGCAACCAAAGACAGGTAACTTAGATATACCAATTCGCTCTATTAGTCACTCCAAGATTGATGGCAAAGTTAAACCCGAGTATCTATCTCAAGATTGTAATGTAACTGTGCGAAGAAATCGTTCAGTGGACTCACAACTTTCTCAAGAAAAATTTAAAGAAATCCTAAAAAAAGAATTGATAACGGAAATTGAGGCCATGCTTGAAAAAATACTGACTCGAATGGTATCAAATCAGCTGAAGGATATAAATAGTCGCTTTGTCGAACTTTAAGAGTCTATGACTTATATTTCTGGACAATATGAGGATTTAAAAAAGCACCTAGACTCCACCACATCGGATTGGCAGTGCCTCAAGGATGAGAACAAATTCCTCAAAGAACAATTAAATCACCTCACGTAACTCAATTAAATCACCGAAGACGATAACATGAAGCAACAACAGTGGGCCAGATTGCAAAATATCGAAATCGCTGGCATACCAGAAGATAAGGATGAGAACACATTAACTATTATACAAAAGATTTCTAAGCATATTGGAGTCTCAATCGAACTCTCTGAACTGGAGTTTGTACATCGCGTGCAGCCGCGGCGTGCCACAAGCACCGTGCGTGCGCGCCCTATTGTCGCTTGGTTAAGGACGCGTTTACAAAATGGATAGGTATAGAATCGCACTACTACATTGACAAAAGTCACACACACACTAGTGTACGCACGGTTGGCTGTGGGAATCGTAGTCAAATGAAATTATTTTGATAATTTGAAAGATTGAATTTGTTTTTCATTTCTTATACCTACCTCAGAAATATACTTCGATACGAAATATGAATACCTGCTCCAAAGACTGCTTGGCACTGGAAGCCCTCTACTGGTAGTGAGATGTTAGCTCTGGACTTTGAACTGGTTTTGTCAGTTATAATAAGACCTTACCTACCTGCGGACTTGATGGAGTGACCTGAAGGTGTAATTTGGTGATTACAACAATAGGAACTCCTAGACTAGTAGAACTAGGTGTGCCGAGTTTGGGTTCGTTTTGTTAGTTATGATGAGACCTTACCACCAGACTTGATGGAGTGACCTGAAGGGGTAATTCAGTAACTACTGCTGGAATTTCTGAACGAGTAGAACTAGGTGTGCCGAATTTGGGCTCCGTTTTGTTAGTTATGACGAGTCCATACCTCCGGACTTGATGGAGTGACCTGAAGGTGTAAATCGGTGATTGCAACTGGAACTCCTAGACTGGTGGAACTAGGTGTGCCGAGTTTGGGTTCGTTTTGTAGGTTATGATGAGACCTTACCACCGGACATGATGGAGTGACCTGAAGGTATAGTTCGGTGATTACAAGTGGAACTTCTAGACTTGTAGGACTAGGTGTGCCGAGTTTGGGTTCGTTTTGTTAGTTATGATGAGACCTTACCACCAGACTTGATGGAGTGACCTGAAGGGGTAATTCAGTAACTACTGCTGGAATTTCTGAACCAGTAGAACTAGGTGTGCCGAATTTCACTCCATCAAGTCCGGTGGTAAGGTCTTATCGTAACTAACAAAACGAAACCAAACTCGTCACACCTAGTTCTACTAGTCTAGGAATTCCATTTGTAACCACCTGATTACACCTTCAGGTCACTCAATCAAGTCCGGAGGTAAGGTCTCGTCG